ACTGGATCTGGAATGGGAACCCTACTGATTTCTAAGATTCGTGAAGAATATCCAGACAGAATTATGAACACTTTCAGTGTTATGCCATCTCCAAAAGTGATTTTTTTTCTTGTTTAAAATCAAATTCACAGCAGTTATACATTTTTGACATGTGATGAATGGCATATTTATAATACAATGATACTTTTAACAGTTTAGATTAAAACTTCCAAACAGCATGAAACTGAATTAATTAAAAGATATTTATTTTATTTACTTGGGTATTGTTGGTTGAAAAACAAAGTTGCTAGGTATATTTTCCCATGTGATAATTAAAATTAAAAAATTAAGATTTTTTGTATTTGTAATGAACAATGATCTTGTAATCTTCAAATATTATGTTAAGATATTTGTGTGGTAAATAGATATTATTGTACTGAAAACAATTTAATGTAGATAAATATTTTTGCCATAATTTTTCTATTAAATTATGTGCAATACTTTCATAGCCAATACTATGTTGAAAATGTGTTTTAATCATTTTATTTAGCATAAGGAAAGTCATTGACTTCAAAGATGGTATTTTTTTAGGTATCTGATACAGTTGTGGAACCCTACAATGCTACTCTCTCTGTTCACCAGCTTGTGGAAAACACAGATGAAACTTTCTGTATTGACAATGAAGCTCTGTATGACATTTGTTTCCGTACCCTAAAACTGACCACTCCAACTTACGGTGACCTAAACCATCTCGTGTCTGTTACGATGTCTGGAGTCACTACTTGCCTAAGATTTCCTGGCCAACTGAATGCTGACCTTAGAAAACTTGCTGTCAACATGGTTCCTTTCCCTCGATTACATTTCTTTATGCCAGGTTTTGCACCACTTACATCCAGAGGGAGCCAGCAGTACAGAGCACTTACTGTACCCGAACTGACCCAACAGATGTTTGATGCCAAGAACATGATGACAGCTTGTGATCCTCGCCATGGCCGCTATCTAACAGTTGCAACAATCTTCCGTGGACGCATGAGCATGAAAGAGGTTGATGAACAGATGTTGAATATCCAGAACAAGAACAGTAGTTACTTTGTTGAATGGATCCCCAATAACGTCAAGACAGCCGTATGTGACATTCCTCCACGAGGACTGAAGATGAGTGCTACCTTCATTGGAAACAGCACTGCTATTCAGGAAATCTTCAAGAGACTCTCTGAACAGTTTACTGGTAAGTATTTGAAATAATGATTATGTATGAACAATATGCTAAATATTTATTTTAAAAAATACCCCAATTTAAAGGTTTGTATTTAACTACTCTTTATGCAATTTCTAATTTTCTAATTTAATATATAATTCTACAGTTGTTCTTAATATAGTGCTAATAATGTTCCACAATGCAATTTTTGCAGCTATGTTTCGACGAAAGGCTTTCTTACATTGGTACACTGGAGAAGGAATGGATGAGATGGAATTTACTGAGGCAGAATCCAACATGAATGATCTGGTGTCTGAGTACCAGCAGTACCAGGAAGCCACTGCTGAGGATGAGGGGGAATTTGATGAGGAGGAACCACTGGAAGAAACCTAAATTCTGTTTCCTAAAATTTTTTCCAAAGTCTTTAATAAGCATAATGCTTGACATCTTAGTTTGCTAATAGTCTGTTTTATTTTGTATTTGTATTGGACATTTTAGTTTTCGTTAATAAAGTAAATGCTCAAATTCCCATCTTTCAGGAAAATACCTTGTTGGCTAAATGTGAAAAAGCTGTTATTTGCAACACAGTAATTTGTTTTTTCATATCTATAAATCAAGCAAGTGTGAAGGCCCTAATAATAATTTTTCATTTATAGTTGTTCAGTTAAATGAGAATGTATTAAAAACTTGGAAAACATCTGATTTATTTAACCCTAAAACTTCTGGTACGGTGCATGGACCTCCTAAGATATATATATATAAACACATTTTTTGAGCTATTATACACTGATTCATTGTGAGCCTGTTACAGGTTTGATAATAACATGAATCACATTAAAAAATATTTAATTGTAATATTAACGTTTTTTTAATGTCATTAATTACTTTCATGATTTCCTTTTACATAGACAATTAGTGATTTCATCAAATTGTTTTTTTAGTCATTTCTTTCCATTGAATTTGATGACAAGCACAACCAATGTTATTCAATATGATGCTATACATAAACTCAACTGGTAGTTATCTGCAAATCTGTAAATCTAGATTTATGTGTACCACCCAAGTTATTTTTGAAATTAGTATTTAGCCTGATTGTAAATCAAGTAGTTAAATTGAATATTAGTATTCCTTGGCACAGAGAGAACTTGACAGGTGTTATGTAAGTTGCACTTATGATCATTTATAAATAGTCAGACTATTTTCCACAATAAACGTTGAATTGAACAAGATAATAAACAAGTTAAATGTTTGTATCAGTATATTATAAGCACATACATAATTACTTCAGAATTTTCACTTTGTTAGATTTTCAATTAATCAAAACATGACAGGAAAAATATTAGATCTTGTAATAACATAATGTACATTAACTGGAGAGTCCTACGTGGTAGGAAGGTCAATAGAACCACAGATTAGAATGTTTGTGTGCTTGCATCAAGCCAAAGTTTTTGAGAGTGTAATACTTTTGTGGTTGTGTTGCAGACTGAGATGGCTGCAGTATAGGGATCTGGTTGGGTGTAACATGATTATCTACTACAGATCCTCTCTGTTTCTATTGATCACTGTATTCAGATGTATCTAATCCGAGTTTTATATGGGTATTTTCCTGTGTGCATCTTATCAGTGGATTTCACGGTCCTTTAATTAATTTAGCGGTAAGTTTAAACCTTGTGTTTGGTTACAGAAAGTGGTTGATTAGATGAAGTTGAGTAAAATTCTGCAGGAGCAAGGACGTAGATGCCACAATGTTTGCAACTAAATTAACAAAATTAATTAATTTGGCGGTTAGTAGTTACTGTGTGTTTGGCTATAGACAGGGGTGGGTTGGATCTAAAAATGAGGTTGAAAAATCCTTTTTATGAGATCGGGGGAGAGAGGAATTCCTGAGAAACTGAATGAGTATTATGCTTAATGCTACATAAAATATATTATGTACTAGTACTCCTCAAACAGTTCACAAATTGGACAAAAATGCATTATAAAACATTTTAAATTTAAAATCCAAAGTTCATTACATAGATAAATAGTATTAGTAAAGCATAGACATATTGGCCACAAATTTACATGAACTGAAACAAATTCACTTAATTTAATTAAAATTCAGGTGGTTAGGGCGCTGGACTCGCAATCCACGAGTTCGAATCTCTGTCCCATCAAATATGCTCGCCCTTTCAGCCGTGAGGGCATTATAATAGGTCAGTCAATCCCACTATTCGTTGGTAAAAAAAGTGGGTGGTGATGACTAGTTGCCTTTACTTTGCTAAATTAGTGACTGCTAGCACAGATAGTCGTCGTTTAGCTTTGCGCGAAATTCAAAACAAACAAACAATAATTTATATAAATCTTGAATATTTTATGTTGAACAAGCTAAACGAGGAACTTCAGTTTATAAATCTGTATGTTTTTTTTTTTCTTTTGTATGTGGTCCAAAATTTTTTTCTAAATGATGGATTTCTTAAGCCCAACTTATCTTAGTCAAATAGCTTGGTAACTCGTTAATATAGCATTTTATGAACTATTTCTCTCGAAATCAAGGTGGCTGGATAGGTGATGCAGATAATTGTTAAAAGTCTGAGTTTCATAATCAGTGGTGGATAAGGTATTGACGTCTAATAAGGAAAGGTGTCCTCAGTAATCATGGCGAACTTGGTGATTAGGTGTTGTAAGTTGAGGTGTTCAAAAAAATTAAATCCTGTACCATGTGGACAAATGAAAAAAATGTCACTTTTGCGCTTATGTATTGTCGTTCCCAGAAAGGAGATGTAGTGGTTGTTCTTTTTGAGTTAATCATAGCAGAATTCTCGTTCAAAGTTAGATATGAATCACTGTCTGCCTAAACAATCCTGAAAAGAACATTGCTTCTCATGTTCATAATCTAACATATAATATCATTGACAGTTTAAAGAAACAAAAATGTCCTCCAGTGGGTCAGTGGTAAATTGACGGACTTGCAACACTAAAATCCGGAGTTTGATTCTCGGAGGTGAAAACTGCAGATAGCTAGTTAGATGGCTTTGCTCTAACACAAAAAAAACCTAACCACGTGCAATGTTTCAAATATTTTCTTAATCAGGCAAGATGTTTCGATGTATATGATCACTGAGTTTTGTTTTTATGTTTTCTAATGAGATATTATATATATATATATATATGTATTTTAAGTTTAAACGCGCACGCTATACTTAACCAAATGATTATATAAATAACTGCATAAAAACACTTCTTGTGGTGATTGTTTTGAATCTGTACTACCCGTCCCTAATTCATCAGTGAAAGACTAGACGGAAGGCAGCTAATCATCACCACCAACGAATAGTGAGATTGACCTTAACCTTATAACGCTCCCATGGCTGAGAGGGCGAGCATGTTTGGTGGGACGGAAATTCGACACCCGCGACTTTCAGATTGCGAGTCGAGCGCCCTAACCACCTGGCCATGCCAGGCCTTCCCCTGTGGAAATGTACATATATACTTCTTAGTAAAGGTTTATTATGTTGAACGATATACATTCACTTAGTAAAGACATCAGGAAAAATATAGCATTGATACGGCGTCAAGGAGAAAGTTTTGTTCTTGTTTTGTTTTTTACTTTCTCTTGACTCATCACACAACCTGCACACACACACATATATATGCATGTATACGCGATTTAGCGAGTACGGTATATATTGCTTAAACCACAATTCTAAATTAACTGATTTGTCAAAAGTTAAATGTTAATAAAGAACAATAAACTGGACCAGATTTGATGAAACTTAGATGAATGGACAGCAACTGTCTGTTGTAGAAACACGAGTAATCCTCTATACTTGTGTTTCTACAACAAGCAGTTGCCGTCCATTCAACTACGTTTCATCATGAATACTCTGCCTAAACAATCTATCAAAGGGACCAGATTATATTTATTTTTCTTTTTGTTATGAGACCCGTAACAGATATATATTAATATGTTATTAATATTTACCCTAAAATCTGACTTGTAAATGGCTTAAATAACACTGATAATAAATACAACTCACTTAGTTAGTCTGGTTCACACCATAACAGTCGTTGTTCATGAAACCTGATTATATAAAAGACGCCTAGGATTCCATAGTTGTCGCATGCTGACCTGGTTGATATTCCCTGGTATTAAACAAAAAAAAAAAAAAACTTGTCGGCATTGGATATGGTAGATGTAGCACAGTTGGCATATTTTATCATGGCTCTTCTTTGCTTTCATTCCTTGGATTTTGGAATACTATGTAGCACTAATTCTAATCCTTACCCTTAGGAACAAAAGTCAAATGAAAACATATATTAATTAGATCAGCACCTACAGATTATTTCGGATAATAATTATTAACAGATACGAGATAAAAGATACCACTGTTTTCTGAATAATTAAGAAGATATTTGAGACTTAACAAAACATCAAATATTTGAATTTGATGAACATTACTTACTGTTGTTAGTCTTTTAGAGTTAGGTTTTGTTTCTATTTATTGGTTATGTTCTATAAACCTTCAAGTATTATGAGGATCTAAGTATAAAAAAAATTCTTTTGAACAAATGTAAAATCACATGTAAATTACTTGCAGTTTCCACTGTTATATATCTCAAAATCCATACACGGATTTATGGTTTACAGGCTTGAGTTAATACTAGGAAATATTCTAATTGACAATTCCTTTTTATTTTTTGTCGGACTTACACAAACTTTCCATTTTCAATGTTGGCGTAACACACAAACGCGATGTTTGCACAGTTAAGTCCTTATTTTATAAAACGCACTGAAAAACTAAATTGTTTTAAATTAGAAATTACTGCGTTTGTTAAACCATTTATCAATGTACCTATATCTTCATCAAAGTTTTTAAATCTCTCTAGAAATAAATGATGGTTGGAAGAAGTGCTTATATATATAAATAAGGATGCAACTCGCCAAGTGGCCAAATTCTTTAACACATTACCATCATTTGTCGCAACCTGAGAGGGTCAGGTGCAATTTAGACCTCCTCCTCACTCTTTTACTATATTTTAAACTGACAAATGTTAGTAAAATTTCAAGAAAACACTAACATCTTACCAGAAACTCTAGGTTTGGTTTATTGAATTTTCGCAAAGTCGTTCGAGGGCTATCTGCGTTACTCGTTCCTAGACTAGACGAAAGGCAGCTAGCCAATACCACCACCCACCGCTAAGTTATGGATTGCGTTTCATAAACGAATAGTGGGATTGATCGTCACATTACACCGCCCCCACAAGGGCGAGTACGTACATTGACGGGTTTCAATCGTGAGACCTGCAGATTGTGAGTCAAGCGTTACGCCCCTGCAGAGGCTCTAGCTAGAAAACTTGTATTGATAAGTGAGTCGCTGTTTAAGAAAGTTTGGCAAAATGCTTCACATAGAACAATCGGTTTTGAAATAACAATTCTCTAACCTCTTTTTATAACGAAGTTTTATTTAAATATTTGGTTACATTTATGTTATCTATTTTTGAGCCTTCTCTAAACATTTAATTACATATTCCCTCTGTGTCGTGTGATGCTTGTTATACATG